CGCGTTTTCAACGTTTTCCATCTCCGTGACGCAATGATCCTGTGTGACGACTGCGTCTAAGTGATACCTTTGGAAGAACTTGTATCTCAAGTCAATACTCTATAAGAGCTTTACTCAGAAAATTTTCTGAAGTCGTTCAGTTGAACGGGGTCATATGACATGTCCTGATATGAGAGACGACCCGAAATATTCGCTTAGGCATTCTTTACTAAAAACAGCGACGTCCATCACAATTCAACGACGAGTAAAAATATTGAACGCACAAAAGTATATCCCAACATGTGTAAACATAAGCTAAAAAAATTCAAAGAGATAAGAGAGGAATGTGACTTGGCCCAAAAAACATTTATTTGCCTCTTTGTCAACAACGGTTCACTGATTAATTAAAGAGCTACTAGGCTAAATGGCTAATACTAGAAGAAAGAAAAAATAAAAAAAAATACCGAAGATGAGAAAGATTAAAACCAGGGGAAGATCTATATATAAATTATAAAGTAGTGTGTAGTCACTAGCCTTTAATGAAGTTATTAGAGCATTTAATTACATATTATGATCTCTGATTTACTTTGATTAATTAAACTAGAAACAATATACGCATTAATACACTATATTTTGTACTACTCCTTCGGTTTCAAAATGTAAAATGTTTTGAAAGTTAGCACAAAGATTAAGAAAATTTGTGCTTTTAACCAAAATATTATTTTTAATAAAAACACTTGATGAAAGCTAATGAAATGAAACAATTATTTAATTCCTTTTAAACTATTAAGATAAATTATTTTTTATTATTTTTTATATGGGGATGTGTAAACATCTTATATTTTAAAATAAAATAAAAATTTCAAAACATCTTATATTTTGAAAACGGAAGGAGTACTTTTTATACATTGTTTTTTTAATTGACAACTTTTACATACAGTGCTAAGTGTTTACTTTATTTCTTTTTGAAGATTTGTAAATTTTAACCCAAAAAAAACTATATATAATCTTTTAAAAGTACTATATTTTTTATGTATATGCTCTATGACAATAATTTTTGAAAATATAAAATTGAGTTGTCAAAAAAATAACACTAATTAGTGGTAAAAAACGATGAGAAAGTTAAAAGGTGTGGTTCGATAAATTTTTGGGCTATATACCGTAAATCGGAAATTAGCACTATTAAATTTTTTTAAAACAAGTATAAAAAACTATAAAAAAACTTTAATATTTATTTTTTTTCAACAATACTTTAATATTTTCATTCACTTAATTTTTAAAGAAATATCAAATGGGGCAAGGCCCAAATGTTGAAGCATAATATCACCTTTTAGCAATCGTTAATACACTTATTTTATGTATATGATTACTATATGATACTATGTTTGTTAATGTAATTTTGATTTGATATCAATGATAATGTTTAGCCGTAAAAAAATATTTACTGTTAATATAATTTTTTAGAAAATATTTAATCAAAATGTTCCACAGAAAATAAAACATTTCTGCTCATCAAGGAGATTTGGGACCATGCTCCATTTCCTTTATGCTCATGTGCATTTTTAAGATCAAATTCTTGTGCTCAAAATATTGATCTACTGCATAGCTTGAATCAAAACCAAGGAAAGGATGTGAGTTTATTCCCTTTTATTGATTGGCGTATCTGGAAAATGAGGAATGAGTTGCTTTTCAATAACAAAAAATGGTCTATTTCAGATACTACTAATAAGGCTATAATAGACCAGCAACAATGGCAAGAAAGCTTGAAATTCAATGAAGAGAATTCACGGCTAAGTCCAGGCTATAATCATCATCAAAAGCCTAAAGAGCTTTTGGATGCAAGGACTGAACTTAGAAATATTATTAAACAAACTCATGACTATTGTTGCTTTGTTGATGGATCTTGGACCTCTTCAACTGAATGTGCATGTATAGGATGGCTTCTTTACAACAATAACGCTCAATTCGCTCTTAGAGGCATGGCATCCATCAATCCGATGCCCACTGCTTTGGAAGCAGAAGCTGAAGTCCTGCGAACAGCAATGATACATATGAAGAGGCTTGGATATAAAAAGGTAACATCAACTCTATTCCATAACATCAAACGTATCCAGAAGCATTGGTGGGAGCATTCCTCTATATCGATGTACCTCCAAGATATCCTCCGACTTACACAAGATTATGATCAAGTTACTTTTTCTAAAATCCCACGTGTTGTTAACTTTGTCGCAGATAATTTAGCTAAAAATGCTAGATTAAATAGTATAGGACTTGTAATCTCATGGAATGATGTATCCTAATTTTGATAGGGAAAATCACATTTTTAACCCTCAAAGTGTAACTGGGAAGCACTTTAAACCTTGAGAGAATTCTACTAACACTATAAACCACCAAGATTGTTTTACTGACACTTTAAACCTCCAAACTAACTTTTCTGTTTGTAAAGCTATAAAAAATGATGGAACAATCAATTTATATTTTTTTAATATATATTTATATAATTTAATTTAAATTTTAATTAATTTTATTATTTAATACAAATATACAATTAATAAAAATCTATAAAAACAAAAAAAAAACTTTATTTTCTTCGTTTAGTCACTTTCCGACCATGAAATTTCTTGATAAACTCTTTGAAACAATCTTTTAGACTGATCCATAAGCGTCTTCACTCTCTCTACTAGATAAATTAGAATATCATAATACCAATTGAATAAAAAAATGGTGAACACATACAATAAACTGAATAAAATTTTGAAAAATTGTGTTCGGACGTTGAATAGTCAAAGATGATAATTTTTATTTTTTATTTTTTTATTTATCGTAAAAATTGTAATAAATAATAAAATTAATTAAAATTTAAATTAAATTAAATAAATATATGTTAAACAAACATAAATTGATTTTTCCATCATTTTTTATGGCTTTGCAAACAGAAAAACTAGTTTAGAGGTTTAAAGTGTTAGTAAAACAATCTTGGTGGTTTATAGTGTTAGTAGAATTCTTTCGAGGTTTAAAGTGCTACCCAGTTACACTCTGAAGGTTAAAAATGTGATTTTCCCAATTTTGATATAATGGAAATTGCCGACAAAAAAAAGAAAAAGGAAAATATTTAATCAATTTAACTTAAAAATATATTAAAAATTAAATGCTAATTTCATCCCAAATTTTAATCGGGACAATTTTAGTCATATATGCTAATTAAAAATTATGAAAGTGACTCTAGGGTTTTGAAACCCAACCATGAGCAGGTGTTTTTCGGTTGATTGGGGCTTTAGAAATGGTTTATTTCGGGTGATTTTTGGCTTGGAGAAAGGATTCGTGGTGATTGTCTTTCTACGGGATTTGGATTGGCTCTGTTCTAGGCAAGTGAAGATTTCTTTTCATTTGGTATTCAGAGGGTTGGAATCTCGGATTAATCAGTTGAGGATTTCACAGATCTATCGATTTGGCGAGTTAAAGTGGATTTGTTTCAAGGATTCGTCATATCTCTTGATTACGGATGGTAATTCGGAAATCTTTAGGTGGAGTTTTGGAAAACTTATTTTCAAAATCTCGATTGATGGATTTTCCTCTGCTAAAAGTGGTTATGGCGAGACATTGGTTGGTGCCAGATTGGACCAGTTGGAAGAATCTATGTCTGATCTCGTTTTGATTCAGATGCGAAGGCGGTTAGGAGGCTGTGATTTGGGGATCGGTATGAGGATAGCTGTGATCAAGGTTTTGAATATTGGAAACTTTAAATCAAGCAAGATCGTAGAGATTGTATGGTTGGTAGTGGGCTCCAAAAATGGTAAGAGTAGAGATTCTTATCAATCTCGATCTCTTCTCTTATTCCTTTTAATGGTTATGATTTGGTACAATGTTTTGATTTCATTGGAAATTAAGGAACTATTGAGGATTCGCGTTTTATGGTGTATGATCTGTGGAGATTCAAAAATAATTCTTTCGTGGTGCCTCTATAAAAAGACTTGTATTATTCACTCGTCTATTATCACTTTGTTTTATCAATTTACAGCAGATAAAGAAACTGAATTTCTGTCTTCACGTCTCTTTTTGTCTCAGTTTCTCAATTTGGTTCATATGGCTCAACTAGCGTTGAACAAAGGCAAGGCTGCGATGGTACGCACAGAAGTGGTGAAGATTTCGGGTTCTATTTTGTCTCAAAGGATCCAACAATTTTCTCTTACTCTTATTGGGAGGTTGATGAATCCGAGTGTCCAAAGGATGAATTCTCTGGTGGCGAATATGCCAAAAATCTGGAAACTTGAAGATAAGGTGACTGGGCTGACTTAGGGAAAGGTATATTTCAGTTTAATTTTCAAGCTGAAGAGGACTTGAATGGTGTCTTGCAGAATGTTCCATATCACTTTGATGGATGGATGGTTGCTTTGGTTAGGTGGGAACCTATAATCTCAGCTACGTATCCGTCGGCCATAAACTTTTGGGTAAAAGTTTCTGGCCTCCCAATGCACCTGTGGGAGGAAGCAACACTAAAGGCTATCGGGAAAAAAATAGGAATAATCCGAGATCTTGACGTGGATTCAGGAAGCATCTACGTCACAGTAAATGCTTCATCCTCTTGTGTTTCAAATTGGTGGTACCCTTTGATACAGGTGATGAGGTGGTGGCCTCTCTGGATTATGAGAAATTGGTAAATTTCTGTCAACATTGT